TTTCAATGACAGCTGCCTCACCAGACTGTAATCAATGTTCTATTTGTTCTGTCTCCTTCGGCGGAGAACTATCTAGTTCGCTAAAGCTCCCTTCAGAACAGGGGTGTACAGGTCCAGTCACATTACATAATGACATACGTGGATATCAGACATGCGTGCTGAATATAGTGTTGTGGGCAATGCAGTCTTCAATGTATGCCTATTGTAGCATACTTTCCTTTGGTACTACACGGACCGCATAGAAAAAGAAAAAATGAGGGGGACAAACACACAGAAAAGATGATCTCATGAAACCCTTACAACAAAACTTCTGGGGAATACAAAGAGAGAGACAGCACGCACACTATGCTACAAGCCGGAAGGTTGCGGGTTCGATTCCCGATGAGGCCATTGGACTTTTTTCAGTTGACCTAATCCTTCCAGCCACACTATTGCCCTGGGGTCGACTCAGTCTCTAACAGAAATGAGTACCACGAATCTTCCTGTGGGTAAAGGGCTAGCGGTACGTAAGGTTGACAACCTCACCGCCATCTGTGAGCCGTTTGTCTATAGAAAATGTGGGAGCTTCGACGTCTCATAACCATATGGGCCTCAACGGCCTGTTACAGGGATAGCTTTGCCTTTTTACCTTTTTAACATCTGTCCATGAAATACGATGACAGAACCAATTAATATATTACTGACTCAATATTTCAGTGTTTTACGTATTAGGCCGTCTGACCTGTCCCAATTCAGAGTTAACTTCTGAACTGACCCATCCCCTAGAACGACTCTCTGGTCGGAAGAACTCACACGTAACCAGGGTGAGCAGTCCGAGTACGTTAACACAGCGGTACCCCTGCGCGAACCGTCGAAAGCACCGTCTGCTACTCAGATAGACATCAACAAATCTATCCCTGAAAATCTTTACTAATTGCCGATGACGTCTATTTCCTTCGGCCATGCAACATGTGTCTAACAAAAGCAGCGTGTCATCTGAGATTTTAGGTTGTCACTACTGTCGGGCGCTTGATGTATTGTTTGATACACATGCAAAATTCTCGGAGGAACTTCATTCCTCCATTTCTCTCCCAATCTTGGTGACAACAGGGTCCTCAAAAATTCTAGTATATATCAAACGTCACGTTCCAGAACAAGGCGTCTTGATTCTGTGATTAGTTCTGAAGTCCCGTGAAAAGCTGAAATTACACTAGACCGTTACCAGACAAAAATTAAATTCGCACGAAGTTTAGTAAAAAGTTGCAATGCCAAATTTCATCGAAATCTTTAAATATATTTGGAAAAGAAATATGAGGAAAGGTAGACACTCTCTTCCTGTTAAAATTCTTGACTAAACGGTAACACTCTTGAGGTGCAGGGACACTGCCTACCCTGACTGAGATTTCTCGTGGTTTTCCTCAGTATCTCCAGTAAAATATCGGAATAATACATCAAATAAACTAAAGTTGATTCCTTTCAAATCTGTCACTCATTTCTCGTCGTACCATAGTTTAAAATCCAGCTACTTATAGTGTAAAATAAGCCATGGAAAATATCTTCATGTTAAGCGTTAATTTGCTACAGTATCCGGAAAAATCGCATAACGCACTACAAGTGAAGTCTGGAATCTGGAGTAAGAACGGTAAATTTATGCCAGTTCTGTGCTGCTGGCGTACTTCTCCTGATTGGCGTGGAGATAAGGGTGCTGCTACTGGTCCTCGCCAGCACAATCATTCTGGGTTACGAGGCTCTGGAAGCCGAGCAAACTCAAGGGGACTCATATATTTCGTATATCCCTGCCTAACGGGAGTGTGCCGACGGTATGTGTGGAAACTGAGCTCATTTATCACAATCTGGAGCTGCGAGGAACCGACTACTAAAAGATAGCTTCAGGAAATTAGAAATCGGCCGGCGTGCTATCCCCATGTACAGCGTTGGAATTCTGCTCCCCCTCTTTCCAGTTGCAGTTGGACTGGACTCGCAGTAAGTTGCTTTTAAGTTACAAGTTGCGCTTGGTTTGCGCAACGTACGTAAAACGAACATGTATCGGTAATGGGTAATTCCCCTTTATATATCGATCTGAAATTATTGGCTGGATTTCCATGTAATTTGATATTACGTAATACATTAACATATCAGACGGAGGAGTGAGAAAATAGTCGCAAGCAAGGAAATGCCGCAGCCATGTTTACTGCAAAACTTCAGCAGTCACTGTTCGCGGTTCTTTTCTAAATTTATTTTTTCTTAAATGGTTAATAGATCGAGTCACCAATCCAAACCCCGTCTATAGTCACACATCCTAAGTGACAATATTGTATTCTTCTCTGGATGTTACAAAGCAGGCCGTCCGCCCTGTTCCAATTCAGAACTATCTTCTGAAATTGTTGTCTTTTAGACAATCGATAAACACCCTCGAACGGATGATAGACCTCATCTACAGAGGACGTCACAAACACAGAAGAAACACAACCAAACTGTCATGCTCCGAGCGGGATTCGAAACCACGATATTACAAGACAATGCACGCCTCAGATACGCCGGGCTGTGTGCTGAGCTGTTCAGCTTAAAGATAAAAGAAACGCCCTAGGTTTTGATATATTGGATTTTTGGACTTTATCCATCGTCCTGGTTATTAAGATAACAAATAAAAACACGACGTTTGGTTATTAAGATAACAAATAAAAACACGACGTTTCCGAAACGTCGTGTTTCTATTTGTTATTTTAATAACCAGGACTATGGATAAAGTCCAAAAATCCAGTATATCAGTGTGTTATACACCATCGTCAGAATCCTATAGTAACTGCCCTAGGTTTTATCTAGGAGGTGCTTGGCTCGAATCTTGACTGGGACACCTTCCATCGTGAACATCAGTTTCGTGTATCTACTCAGTCCCTAAGAAATACACAGATAGAACGTCTGATAAATTACAACAGCTTCCTTCCAAGTTAAGGCCCATTCTTCATCCTATCGTCTGCTGGCACACAGCGTTCCTGAATGGCCCATACACTAATCGGATCGAAGTTCGGCTGGAGCACCAGATATCCTGACTAAGGCCCCCCCCCCCAAGCAAATACCACAATATCACCTAGAATAATCCACGCCCGTATCATTTCAAATCGTTTCTAATAAATCTCCCTACCGTCCGACATTACTGTCATGCAGTATGAAGTGACTATAGACGGGGTCTTGGAGAATTGCATTTACTGAGCACTTGCAGGTCTAAGTACAAATAACTATACACTATCGCCGATTTCCACACTTTACAAATCACTACAGCACACGGTAAATCCTTTCCAGTCTGAAGTGTCTTCACTAGACGTTTCCTGGTTGACTATTCTTCTGCTTCCCTGCTGAAGTCCTCTTTGAAGGACGTCTCCCTTCCAAATGCCTAGACTTCAAATTCAAGGTCAAAGTTATTTTACAACTGGCACTTTACAGCCAATCAGTTCATCTTGATGTCAAGCCCCCTGAGAAGCACGACCAGAATGGCCTATTCTCAAAGTCAGAGTCAAAGTTATGTTACGACCGACGGTCAGTCGGCCAGTCTGTCTTGGAATAAAGCACTCATCTGGAGCTTACGACCAGATTTTTATTACTGCCAGACCGTTGCGGGTTTGTTGATGTGGGGCTCTCTCTCTCTGATGAAAGGATGGGTCTGTCGTTTACATTTGCTGCTGGGCCTCGCCAGCGCAGTCATTCTCGGGTCCGATTCCAGCGGGACTTGCGAGCATATTTTACTGTCTCAAATTCGAGACTTCCCTTTTCGTCGCCTCCTACGACTCGCAGGGTCACGGTGGAGGTATTCGACCCCAACTCCACACGGGACGCCTCGGCTGTCAAAGAGTCAAAGTCACATTGCGATTGACGGTCAGTCAGTCAGTAAGCCTTGGTGTCGAGCCCCATCTGGGGCTCATGACAAGATGTTTATTACTGTTCGGCAGTTACGGTCTTGTTTTTTGTGGTGCGCCCTTTCCGACGAGAGGACGGGTCTGTCTTTGTATATGCTGCTGCCCCTTGCCAGCACAGTCTTTCTCGGGTCCGAGCCTCTTGGTACTCGCGACCATATTTTACTATCTCAGATCTGATACTTCCCTTTTCGTCGCCTCCTACTGCTCGTAGGGCTACGGTGGAGGTATTCGACCCCGCCTCCACTCGAGATAACCCATTCTCGCTTCAATTGTCCTCCTTATAACTCCTTTGCCTGGACTGTTTCCAACAGTACCTCTATTGTTGCATGTGTATCCGTTGCAGCGGGAACGTGTTTACCGAACCGTTGCCTAGAAACGGCTCTACACGCTACATTATATAGCCTAGATATTGGAAGCCTCGTTAAATAACATAGTTTAGACTAATGTAATATTTATGATACATGTCCTCAGTGTTTTTCAGAGTGTCCCTTGACTCATTTCAACAGGAGCCACTGAAACCAAAATTTGTGTTAAGATTCGGTCGATTTATAAAAGCAGAGGTCCAGTAGATCACTGGTATGGCTGAGGCCGTTGTTAAATTTGTGATATTTCTGTGCCCTTTCCTCGGCGTGAGCTCTGAGCTCTGTTGTCTGAGTAGACGAATTTATTTAAGGGAATCTTGTTTCATTTATAAAATTCCAAAATGATTCTACTTCTCAGCCATACTTTAAAGTTTCTAATATTTTTTGCAGCGTCATTTAAAGTACATTCTGATATTTATGCAGTGGAAATTTGGAATTCTCATAAAAGTCTTACAAGAGAATCTTACCAAAATATCACAAATTAGAAGTTTAGAGGTTATAAGAGACGTTTACCCATCTGAAACTGGAGTAAGGACCGACATCAACTGATCTGTATTTCACGATATCACAAGAAATTTCGAAGTAAGATTTGTTTAAAACAATATGCAAGTACAATTAAATATTTCGTGTAAATTTCTGGTAAAATTGCCTGGAAACTTCTACTATCGACATGCTGTTTCGTGCACGTCTGTATGATGCAATACGAATAATTACGTTTTCACGTCTCATCTAATTGCAACGTACTCACCAAACGCTGGCACCAGAGCACAGACCGCACGTCTGAGAAGCAGCACACACCACAGTAGACTGGAGTACTGTCGCAGCGTCGCGACGCTCCCAGTTGCTGAGTGCGCCCGACGCCGCACATGCGCAGAATAATCAGTGTGGCTCTGCCACGAAAGAGACCAAGAAGACGAAACTAGGTCGCATGTTACTGTGGGCTTTATTGGACGGTTCAAGCAATTAAAACAGATTGTCTTGTGGGATGTGCTGCCGTGTGGTCTGGTAGATCCCAAAGGAAACAAATGTTCATATTGTCTGTCGTGAGAACATCATAGCCAGTGAGGCAGAACTATTCAGTTCCTGAGACTAGAGTGGCTACCATGACGCGAGATTCCTGCACAATATTATTCTTTCTTACTGTGTTTGTTGTTTTATTCACGTTGTTTCTGTCTCTCTTCCTTGCTTTGTCTGTCTTCTTGCTTGCATTTTACCTTGCCTCTTTCTTCCTCTTTAATTCTTTTTCCATTCATCCTTCCTTCTTCCTTCACTTTCCTCCGTCTTTCGTCTCGTCTCTTTTATTTATTTTTTCTTTTTTCATTCTCCTTTCTTCCTTTTCCCCTTTTCTTTCATTCTTAATTTTTTGTAGGATTTTAAATTCTCATAACGGTGGTTATGACAACTGACGTTTCGGAGGAACATGTCGCTTCCATCTCCAGGGTCAATGAATAAGCCGTTCGAGAAACCTGCTTGAAGCAGAGCTATTTCCTACCTGCTTCATGCTGGTTTCATGATTGGCTTATTCTTCAACCCTGATGATGGAGGCGATATGATTCTCCGAAATGTTGGTTTACTTCCGACGGACTCCTTGGCGTTGTATGACAGAAGATAAAACTCTTCTCAGTTTATACTGTCCTTCCTCACCATTGTTCCTTTCTTTAATTTATTATGTCCTTCTTCCTTTGCTTTCGTTTTTGTTCTTTACGTTCCACAATAAAGTAACGCGGCTGTTCAGCCACTGCGGCGTGTACAGCATATCGCATTGCTTTCAAATCGTAAGCAGCTCTGTTCCAGCCCCTTCCCCCGAAAGTTCAAGAAGGTGCGTGACTACTTTCCGGTTATACTAGGAAGGTGGCTGTGACCGGACCGTGCTTGTATATAGTCCAACAGTAGAACGAGGGACACATGATGAACTGAAAAGGATTCACGAAGAAACAGGTGAGACCTAACGGAAGTACTGTCCCAACATTTGCCTGGAGGGACTGCAGACAGAAACGAAAAATCTCACCTACAATATCCCGTATCCTAGCCAAGATTAGAACCGAGTACCTCCTGAATATGAATCTAGAGCCTTGCCGCTATTCCAATCCACTCAGCTTTTACTGATTCAGTTCACATGATGAACTGAAAAGGATTCACGAAGAAACAGGTGAGACCTAACGGAAGTACTGTCCCAACATTTGCCTGGAGGGACTGCAGACAGAAACGAAAAATCTCACCTACAATATCCCGTATCCTAGCCAAGATTAGAACCGAGTACCTCCTGAATATGAATAGAGCCTTGCCGCTATTCCAATCCACTCAGCTTTTACTGATTCAGTTACCGCCTTTGTACCCTTCTCAATCTCTTAGTTTCCTCCTCCTTTCTTTTCTTTCTATAGATGTAAAGGTAAATTTGTCCCTGTGCTTAATTAATTAAGCACCACGTATCGGGGAGTGGAGGAATAGCTCGATCATTCGTGACCTCGTCACTAGATGGAGTGAGTGGTCTCCTTAACGCTCCGGCTGCTTTACCCCGAGAGAAAGATCCCCGGTACCCATTTCTAGGAGGCTGGGTGGGCCCCAAATTCGGTCTGGAAGCTGTAGAAAATAGAAAAATTTCTTGCCCCTGCCGGGAATTGAACTCCAGCCGTCCAGCCCGTAGCACTGTCTTCGCTCTCTCGGACGCTGGGATCGTGGGTTCGAATCCCACTCAAGTCATGGATATCTGTGTTTATTCTGTGTTTATTGTGTTAGGTAAAGGCCTTGCGACGGGCTGATCGTCCGTCCAAGGCGTCCTGCTGACTATCTTAGATTAAGAGAATAGTGACGCTCTGCACCAACTGTACTCTGTCGAAGTACCAGGACGTACTCTCGGATCTGTCCTCCGGGTAGCGCGTGAGGAGGATCGCGGCAAGAAACGCGTGATTATGTTGGTTATGTTGCCTTGTGGGGCAGTGGGAAGCTGTAGCACTGTATATTTACTAAGGCCCTACTCACCTCCGTTTGTGGACTCGACCAAATCCACTGTGCATGCCAGGCGTATAAACCTGGACAGTACATTCAGTGTGCTCGCCGTGCTGATCAGTGCTGATGATGCTGATAGTGCTGATTTCCAGTCGGAAGTTGAGGCAACGAAGCACAATGCTGAAGTCCATCCTCCTGAAAGACGGAAAGCATATATTGTTTTAGTGATCTGCGGCTGCCAGGCGTGAATGACGCATATCGATGCTGTTACAAACAGCTGTGTAAAAATAAAGTTGTTCCTGTTTGTATTAAAGCACCACGTATGTGGGAGTGGAGATGTAGCTCCTTCATACTTAACGTTGTAAACAGTAGGAAGTGAGTTAGCTCACTTAATATGAAGGTAAACAATACTGGAGGTAAAGCAAAAGGTAAAGTTATCCCTGTAACAAACTGTGGAGGCCCATAGGATTGTGAGACATCGAGGCTGTCACATTTTCTAGACAATCGGCCCACAGATGGCGGTGAGGTTATCAGTTTTACGCGCCGGCCCACACCTTTACCCCCTGAAAGATTCCTGGTGCTCATTTCTGTTAGAGGCTGAGTCGACCCGAGGTCCATAGTGCGACTGGAAGGATTAGGTCAATTGAAAAAAGTTACAGACCTCATCGGAAATCGAACCCGCGACCTTCCGGATCTAGCATTGTGCCTCAACGAACTACGCTACCACATGGCCCCAAACAGTACCGGAGAGTGAAGTTATCACATGCCTATTCCTGAAGTCAAAACCAAGAATCCTAGGAACCATACAGTCCTTATGATATGGTCACACTTTGGCCCTAGCGTTGAGGACAGGGCTCTATTGAAAAGCCGTAGTGAAAGCAGGGGGAGCATAATGGACCCAGTGGTGGTTTGGGTACTTGGGGCGACCGGAGGTGCCCCCGTGACACTACTTCAGTGGTCACATTTGTAACTTGTAACAATGAATAATCAGAAAGTTGCAGATCCACTTATGAACATAACAGGAAAAATCAAAAATCAAATTCTCAATCAACTCAAAGCTCCGGTCATGTGGACAGCATTCCTGCTTTTTATTCGGGTTCAAATCTCGGTCCAGAGATCGACTATCTCCACTGAGATTTATTGTTTTCCTCAGTCACTCCAGGCAAATGCCAGGATAATTCCTCAAATCGAACCACGACCACTTCCTTCCAGACACTTCCCACTAATCATCCAGCCATCCGACGCCACACGCCCCGGCAGGAGGAAAGGACAAGTCAGGCAATCTACCCTACCCGATTGTGGCACAACCTGTGAATGTACTTGATTCTGTTAGGTATGAAAATAACATTATTTGTGTAATTTTTTTACCATTAAATTCACGTAAATATTAAGCGTGGAATTTTTAAGGGCGGAAAAATTCCGGGAGGGACTTCAAGCCGTGGGTCCCTTGTCGTAGATTTACGGCACGTAAAAGATCCTCATGTCTCTAGGAGACCTCTGAGCAAAATTAGGCAACAATTTCCCGCCCAAGTAGTTTCCAATGCCTCTGGTAGATGGGGGAAATATCAGGTACCGAGGGCCGACCTCGTTGGCTGAACGGGCTGATAGTACGCACCAGTACCGGTAGGGTATGGCGACAGTAGAAATTAAAGGGGGACGCACAATGGACCAATAACTGGTCTAAGTGCATGAGGAAACCCCCCCTCTATTAATAATAATAATAAATAACGTAAATATTAACTTGTCCCTGAATTATAAGATTATAATATTAGGGTTCAAATACCGATGAGGTCATTGGATTTTTTTCAATTGACCTAATCCTTCCGGCCACATTAGGGCCCTGGGGTTCACTCAGCCTCTAACACAAATGAGTACCAGGAATTAAATAAATAATTTTCCTGGGGAGTAAAGCGCGGCCGGCGCGTAAGGCTGACAATCTTACCGCCATCTTTGAGACGATTGTCTAGAAAATGTGGGACCCTCAACGTCTCACAACCCTATGGGCCTTCACGGCCTGGTACAGGGATAGCTTTACTTACTTTACTGATGATATTAAAAAAATGGATCCATTTTAATAATTCGATAACGACATCTGCAATTCGTAAAAATCGCCTGATAACAATCTTGAGAGATCGCAACGTGTAAGGGGATGAGAATAAAATATTGTAACTTGAAAATTATACATTTTAAATCGGTTATAAGTAATTGTTGTGTTGACGGCCCCTAAGTGTACCAGGGATACCAATATTGTCCCTTACACCATGAAATTTATCGGCTTTCAATAAACTGATTTGAAATCCCAGAATATGGTCCCTGATCATATTTCAAGGTGATTTCGATGAGAATGATCAGAACCCTTGACATCATGACGAGTCCCCAGGCTGCATATGGAAACAGCCTTCAGACTCTTCAACTCAGCGGATAAGATTGGCAGCAGACGAGCTTGTCCCCGACGTCCCCGACCGTTTCCTATTCACACGGCACGTGACAACACTTGACGAATATCAGAGCGTAATGTTCGAGCAAATATGGCTGTTCCACCTGATCTTCCACCCTCCCCACAGCCTTAAAAAATTGGCCTAGGGGTTACATGTATCCGGAAAGTGCTCGGTTTGATTCTTGGCAGAGACATCATCTAATTCTGACTGAAATTTTTAGCGGTTTTCCTCAGTCTCACTAAAAAAAGCTAAAGTTGTTCTTGTGCTTATTTAATTAATTAGTATGCCACGAAGTTACAAAAGGTAATGGAGGTATAGCTCCAACATCCTTGACCTCGACACACCCTTACCGTTTTAACCTAGGGGAAAGGACCCC